TATATATATATATATATATATATATATATATATATATATATATATATATATATATATATATATATATATATATATATATATATATATATATATATATATATATATATATATATATATATATCACTACTAGAAATACTGAAATTTCCGACCACCTTAAAGTTATCTTAAATCAAGTCGAAAGCCTTGTTCTGACCACTTTTCGTATCCGGAAAAACCCTTGTTGCTATTTCCGACCACTTTTTGCTTTCAACTTCATTTAAGATCACTTTCAGGTGGTCGGAAATTCAATAATTTCCAGTAGTGTGTATATATATATATATATATATATATATATATATATATATATATATATATATATATATATATATATATATATATTGCTAGATGATATTTATAATTTTAATAAAAAAAAACACATATACAAGTAATATCCTTGTAGAATAACTTCTTTTTCTTTTTCCGAAAAAAATAACACTTCTTACTCAAAATGTATTAACTAAAATACAAACTATATTTTCTTGAAATTGTTTTTTTTTTTTTTAATTTAATCTCAACACATTGTTAAATACGAACTACGAAGTACATTGTTAACTAGTTTAATAGGTATATGCTAAAGCATATACTCCCTCTGTCGCATTTTATCTCTTCTATTTACTATTCATTGGTCAAATCAACTCTTTCTTCTTTGTTTTTAATATTTATTTATTTATTATTTTCTACTTATTTTTAAATTTAATTTTTTGTATTTAATAGTAGTACTTTTTGTGTAGTTTTTAAATATATAAATTTTTTATACTAATACTAAATTTAATATTATTAAAAATAATTTCAGTCAAACCTCGTTAACCGAATTAGACACATAAAATGGAACGGAAGGAATAATTTTGAAAACAGTGCCAAGTTTACAATATTTAATTAATGAACATTATTTATCTAGCTATAAATTAAATCCAAAACATTGATTACTCACAAATCCATTTATTCTAGAATATTTCTAGTTGGATTGGGTTCTCCAAAGTAACCTAGCTTTGGCCGGCATCCCAACGTATAGTAACCCATATTATAAATTGCGTTAATTAAAGATAGTAAAGTACAAGAAGAAATCTTACACTAATGTCGTTGCAAACAGACAGGTAAGAAATAGTTCAAAAGATGTAACTAGTCTTAGAATCTTAGTTTAAAAAGTGTAATACAATTATAATTAAAAAATGATTTAGTGAGAAAATCAATGAAGTGTAGCCTATATAAATCATGGACTGGTGAATATCAAATGCATCCAAGAGTGAGTAGGCAAGATTGCAAGAATAAGAGTAAGGATTAGAGACCTAGATTGAGAAGAAAAATTAGCAATGCCATTTTTTTCCAGTATGAGAGATAGTTTAGTTACACTGGTGTTAGTTATAGGTTTTTTGAGTTATTTTTGTTGTTTGGTGATAGGTGAGCCAAATCTCGACATTATAAATAAGATTTGTAATGGTAACCACTATGCAAAAGATGGTCCTTTTGCGCTTAGCCTAGCTTATGTTTTCGAAGACATGCAAAACGTGACTCCTACGCAAGCAGAGTACAACTACTATACAGTTTCTCCGTATTCCAACAACGCTATTGCTTATGGCTACGCCACTTGTAACATTGCAATATCAGCCAATGATTGTGCACTTTGTCTTAGCAGTGCAAAAATTTACTTGAGCGAGACTTGTGATGATTCGATTGGAGCTCAACTTTCATATGTTGATTGTTTGATGAGGTATGAGAATTATCCATTTTAAAGTTACTATGATCAACAAGGAGATGAATGCTGCAATGAAAATGGTTCATAAAATGGATCCAAATTGTGTTACTCATTATCTGTGTTTTGTTAATTTATTGTCTTTGAGTTTTCATTAATTTCTTGCGTTTTATTGTTTTACCTACAATATTGGTGTCGTCATTTATATTTGTGTCATTAAAGGATTGTTCACAAGTTCAAAGTGACATCTGAATGAAAGCGTCTTAAGTTTGAGTACATGTATCATCCTGAGCTACAACATACATTATCCCATTACTCATGAATGTGACAAGGTCAATTGTTGTCAAATTCTCATTTTTTTTTTTTTTCTACACGCTCTCATGAATTAAGAAGGCATTTCATGAACGTTCACATAGGGGTTTAGTGTTTAGGGTTTTTTTTATTCCCCCCATTTATTAATACCTCAAAAGAAAGAATACAAGAAAGCAAGGAGGAAATACCCCTAGTTTTGCAAAACTAATTAAAGGGACAAACCCCTTTTTAACAAATAACCTAAGTGTGACAAAAGTCAATTAATACTTAAGCAACAAATAAAAAATGATCCAGATAAACAACCTAAACCTATCATATGAAATGTCCCAAAACGCAACCCTGTTGGAAGACCCAACGCAACGAAGACGCCCACATGTCCACTCCAATACACGCTAAAAGGTACCAAATCCCATAAACCTCTCCAAATCAACCAAAAAATCATTAGCATAATGGCTCTTTATGGGACAATTCAGAGAAAACGAAAGCGCACAATCTCTAGCACAAAAGGTGGATAGGCCAAACAAGTTGACACAAGTAAAATTGACAAATAGGCTATCACAAATAAAGGTACACATGCCAGTTCAAACATATGAAATGCACACATGCTAAAATAAACAAAGGGGAACGCAAGCCTAGCATTAAAAAAAAATCGTAGGTCACAATGAAATAAACACCTCCACTGTATCACTCTCTTAGCCAAGCCCAATTGCGCCATATTTAACAGTATGTTATAGGGCACATAGTGTGTCCTTGTGTGGCTCCAATGCACCACCCCATCCGGCCTTTTTGCACCCTTACCCCCTTAATTCCAGTCCAATCCTACATTGACTCCAAAATAATTGCACCCTAACCCCTTATGTTTCAGCCCATATCTCACTTCATACCTCATCTCCTCAATATTGCATCTTAGCTAGCCCCAAACTTCTATCCTTGTCCCACTTCGAACCCCATCCCTTCGACATTTGTAGTTCAACACCTTAACTCTACTTCTCATCTCAATTTGCCCCTTAACTTTCTCATCTTCCTCTCTAGACCCCACAAACCATGCTTATGAATTTTGATTATTCATTAGACCTAATTTATTAACCCGGTCCTTAACTTCCTTGACCCAATCGACCTTAGAGCTAGAGTCCACTCCCCCCCCCCCCCACCCCCATCAATTATTAACAATTGAGTAATTTGAGGTCAAATTTATAAAATTTAAATGTTTTATGCACTTAGTTTACACTTTTAAATTCCGTATAAAATTAGTTTTAATAATTTAATATTATGTTTACAAATTAAAATATTTGAAAAATCAATCTTAATTTTATATAGAGAAAATGATATTTTTAGTCCATAAATTTTGACAACGCGGTCCCTTAATTATAATCATAGCCTCATTTAGTCCCTAAATTGTTTGTGTGATTGCCACTTTCATCCCTCATGTCATATATCACTTAAAACCTAACATTGGTGTGTTTAATACCTTAAATTTTTCAAGGGCAAGTTTAGAAATTCTTTTGCCTTTTCACTCCAAAGCACAAGTCAAGTTGATTATACGAGTCATTAAGCGTCCAAATTGATAACTTTTCCAATTTTCTATAAAAAAAAAAAAAAACCCCTAATTCTTTTGTCTACAAATCAATTCTACTGTCTTTGTAATTGGAGATCGACGATAATGGGAAGAAGTAGAAGGTTGATAGAGATCAAAGCTGCTCCAACTTGTAAGTAATATTCGTTTTTCTTTTAACCTCAAAATTGAAGATGAACTTTAGAAATCAAATTGGGTGATTGTGGTTATAATCTTCAATGAAGTATTTTTCTGTGTAACTTGACTAGAGTATTCCTCCTCCCTATTCCGTTCTTGTGTCTCTCTTTATATCTCCTTAGTTCTATCTATGTATGCATATTTCAAAATTTGCTTCCTTAATTTTTATTTCCATCAAAAATTTTGAATTTTTACACGGATCTCTACATTTTTTTTTTGTTTAATTTGAATTTACTAAAGTTTTTTTTTTTTCTATATCTTTACATTTTTTTTTCTAGGTTTAATTATTTAATGGGTTGTAGAATATAACTCATATGAAGTATATCTTATCACTATTCTTAAACTCTATGCAATATTCCTATAGTTATGTATGTCTGTATTTAATGTGGGAAGGCATCCAATATAAAATCAGTGAACAAATTTTTTTGTTCGCATGAGCTTAGCTCAGTGGTTTAGTAGACAATACTTGATAGAAGAGATCAATATTCAAAACTCGACAACAATAATATTGAGATTATACTCAAAAGTAGATAGATCTCTTGTGCCTACAGTCATTTGGCCCTACTCTTTTAATGTATTACTTACTAGTTACTGCTAACTAATGAAGGTTTTAACATATATATATATATATATATATATATATATATATATATATATATATATAATGAATTCATGATTTGATTGAAGTTACATAATAATTAAGGGACTAACTTGTCTATTATTATTTGAAAATTTAGAAAAAGAAAAAAAAACCAGTTTTAACTTTTATATATACTCTATGGCCCAACTATTAATTGTTAGTTGATTGGGTTAATTAGAGGATATAACTAGATGATAACATTAGATTATTGTAGAAAAGTGTTTGATAAATTAACTGGTGATAGCTATTTGGTATAATTTCTTTTTTCTTTTTAAAAAACTATTGAAAAATTTGTTTTGAACAGTTTTTTAAATTTTAGCTTTTTTAAAGTTATAAAAAGCTAATTAATTAAATATTTATATTGATATTTAACCAAATCAAACAGTTAATAGTGATTAAATAAGCTAAAATTAACTTATAGGCGAACTATTTTACCAAACAGGTCCAATATATATAACCCTTTTAATTTAAATAAAAAATGGAGGAGCAAGGGGTGAACTGAGTTGACTCGATCTCTAGCTAACTTCCACAAGTTAAATCTCCGGAAGCGGTGGTGCTGGAGCGTGGAGTTATGGCGGCGGTAGTTTTCGTTCTGACTCGTTCATGATTGCAGGGTTGAAATGTGCTTCTGGTATTCATGCTGCTTAGTGCTTACTTCTATAATGCGCACGGCTGCACTTAGGTCTCAGGTACTTCTATAATGCTCGTGGCTGTTGAAAATATGGACTCCAAAATATTATTTGTGTTCAATATTTTATCATATTCTGATCTGTCCTAAGCTCTAAGCTCTAAGCTCTTGGTTTGGTTTTAAATTGAAAAAAATTCTTGAGCGAAATTAATTAGATTCTATCAAAATGCTATGATTATTGAAGATGTTTGTAGTGTTGGAAAGTTTCAAAATGATATACAGTGTTAAAATGTGTACTTGTGTAGGTGTAATAATGGCAAAATTTTGTCTTTATTAGAAGTTAAGATTAATTTGAGATGGTTCAAATGAATGAATGAATTTCTTATTGTTTTAGCTGAATCAGTTTTAAATAAAAGGGGGTTTCACCTGACAGTTTTGGCTCGTCTGCACGGTTGTGTTGCTTTCAAGTGCTCTTAGAAGGATTTTTTTATTGTTTTTTTTTTTTGGAGAGGCAGATGCAATAGCAGTAGCAGAAGTGTATGCTGATAAAGCTATTGACAGATGTAAGTAGAGAAGTATTGAGACAGCAGATAATTAGGTGTTGATCCAGGCACATTAACTAGAATCATTGGCTCAGATGGTTTGATAATGGCGTCTGTAGAAATTAAATTTCAATTGGAGAATTCCCCAATTGGCCCTCAAAAGATGTATAGCGTCAAGAAAATTGGATTGGTAGTATATTCCTTGTTCTCCTTCTTGAACTCTCAACAATATCTTCCACTTTCTTTCCCTGAAATAAGATTTTTTTTTTTTTTTTTTTTTTTTTTTTTTTTTTTTTTTTTTTGAGTGAAGAGAGAAACCCACAACCATTATCCGAGGGTGTGCACTAGATGAATCCCACTTTGTGACCCTAGCCGGCAAAGAAACTCAAGGAGGTAAACCAGTCTAAGTTACCCGACTGATTCAAACCAAGAAGGCCAATAGGCTGCTCCTATTAGGAGTCGAACTTGTAACATTGTGGTCACCAAGTTAATAGACTGACCAACTTAGATGAGGTTGCCCCTCAATATGCCTATATTTTGGTACATGAACAAAGGTCAACACTAAATAGTTAAAGTTTCTTTTATCAGGTGCATATGATTTCCCACTACAAGTCATTGCTTACAAATTTTTAGACGGTTAGTGCGGGATAGAGGTCCGTACAATTAACTTTTTTTATTTTATTTTTTATTTTTTTTCAAAAGAGATCAAAGTCAAAGAATTCTGAGACAAGTTAAAAACATCATAAATTGAAAGGATACTAGGGTATATGGATTATGGAGCCTTTGCCATGACCATAGGTCAGTTTCATTTATCTGAGTTCCATACTTCATATTACTATATTAGTTCCCTTTGCTAATGCAATCTAAGCACCTTTTGTGCAACATTAAAAAGAAGCAAGAAGTTGCAAGAGCCTTAAGTGTGTTATTTGGTGTGATAAAATCATTGGGATTTTTAGAGAAGGATACAAACTTGGAGTAATTCATAGAGAGTTGAACTATTTCTCTGTTCACTAACTTTGTACAATGTAGTAGACTAGTAGTGGATAGAGTATAACTCTCTAGTCTCTATCCACTAACTCTCTGTCCAGTGGAGTAGTGGACAGAGATTATAACTCTGTCTCTCTGATGGAGAGTTATAATGTTACTGTGCTATACTCTTTATGGGCTCTACCACTAATTTATACCATTCGCAACACAAAGAGGAAGAAAAAAAATTTACATTCAAAGATGAAAAAGGAAAAAGCTGGCGAACAAGGTGAGAGAGAGAAAGAGCAAATCATAGTAAAAAAAGGAAGATGATGAAGAAGGTAAGCATCAACAATAGCCAAGGAAGAAGAAGATGATGAAAAAGATGAAGAAAATGATTAAGAAAGTTGTAACTAGACTCCAATGCACTGGTTGAAGATGATTTCCAGGTTAATTGACTTAAAAAATTGACCAAGATGACTTCTAGGATTGTTGTCAATTTTGATATAATTTTCCCAACTGTGCTTTAGAAATTATATTTCAATTCATTAATTTGCAAATTTACCCCACAAAGGTGTAGAGTATCAAGCAAATTGGATGTGTAGTTAATTTCTTTATGTTTCAACAATCACTTCCTCATTCATTCTCTCAGATATGCCGCTAAACTTTGATGTATGATTAAGGTCATCAATTTGAATTTCAGTTATCAGATGTGTCTGATTTTGATTCATTTTACTGACTGGTGCAAGTAATTTTCTACAAATATTTAGAAGGTTAATGTGAGGTAGATATCTGTACAATTAATTTATGATTTCATTTACAGGTTTTATAGATGTTACAACTTGTCAGAGAATATGAAGTTTGAAGATTTGACAGCCAGGGATTAGAAAAGAACAATTAACTGGAACAATGCGAGCAAAGGTGTTCAGAATTCTTGCCATCTCCAGAGGTCAGACTTCTCTAGCTGAGTTCCCAACTTCACTTCATATTAGTTCAATCCCTTTGTAGTCTATGTATATCAGAAAGAAGTCTGAAAGAAACAAGCTAGATTTGCACACTAGTTAGTATAACAATAGGGTTCTGATTTGTGATAAAACCATTAAAGCTTTAAGGGAATGAAACAATCTTGCAGACAAGTTAGCATAACAACATGGTCTGATTTGTGGGAGTAGATGACACACTGGATTGAGTTTAGCATAATAACGGAAGATAAGGATGGGTCCATTTATAGGGGTCAATTATATACATATAAATTTAGGGATTGACCTCACTGAAATTAAAATATAGGGCTCAATATATAAAGAGCAAAAGTCTAATTATCTAATAGGAAAGAAATTTTAAACTCTAATTTGTTCCTCAATCCTCACATCCTCAACTCAATAAGTCCTAGTATTTCTTTTTCATATTATTGGTGCACATTGGGAGTGCTTCATGGAAAGCTCTTCAACAAAATGCTTTCATTTTGCAAATTATACATTTAGATTTATCTGTCAACTACTAAAATCAATCTAATATATTATAGAAAGTAAAAATGCGCAGTCTCAAATTTCTGTTATAGGCATATAGCATATTTGTGGAGTGATATTTCTCTCAAATTGTTTCTGTTATAGGAATTTTGATGTAAATTATTTCTCCCAAATTGTGAATTTATGTTATTTTTGTTTGTTTTTATTCTTATGTAAAAATGTTTTTTTTTTAAAAATTATTTTTTATTTTTTGTTTAGTTAATAGTGGAATATTTTAAATGAAAACATACATTTGATCAAACAAATTGTACTAAAAAAAAAATTGTACTAAAAAAACTAGTAAACATTGCTCAAAGCAAGCTTGTACAGAAGTCAATTTATAAAGTCTTCCATATGATTCAGGACTTCAAAAGAAACATTAGTTCTTGTTCTTTGCTCCGAGCCCTATACCCCTATATTTTTTTTCTTGGTGTATATTGTAGAACTTATAGTGAAGTGTCTATGTATTAAACTCTGCAAATGAATAAACTGTACAGGCTCCTATATATACAAGCTACCAGTAGGACTCAGCCACTCATTTGAATTTCAAAATGAGTAGCTGAGAGTAACCTGCTAACAACCTCCTAACACTCTCCCTCAAGTTGGAGCATAGATATCAAGCATGCCCAACTATATCTATTAGTGTATTACTTTAAATTATGGAAGTTGTAGATAATTACGTAGTAATATTTATGCATATTTAAGGATGTTATAAACTAAGATTGAGCTAGGGTCACTTAACTGGGTTATAATGCATATGGGACAAACCACATTAAAAGATTGAATCCAACTAATTAGCTAGTCTAACATGAACAGGCTCTGATTGCATCTGATAAACTAAGATTGGGCTAGGGTCACTCAATTGGGCTATATGCACATGAGCCAAACCACACTAAAAGGTTGAATCCAACCAATTAGCTAGTCTAACCTATAGCCTTATAAATCCATATGTTCTCTCTTAACAAAGGAAATAATATTTACAAATATATTCCTATATGGCTATATCTTTTTTATTTGCACGTTTCCCCCACGCTTTGTGGCCTATGTTTTTTAAAATTGTTATTTCCATATGTCTCGTATCTCTGTTTCTCATTTTCATGCTACCTACTACTCTATTTATCGGACCTCTATTGTTTTGAGGAGGACCGGGTGGGGGAGTTGGATTGGAGATAGTTGGTGCACACCTTTATTTCCAGATTTTTCTCATTATTTTGCAAATCATCCACATGTTGATATCGCAGTTTTTGACTAGGTGTGAACTAGATCAAGACAACTCTAATGTGAAGTGACATGTTTAGTTCAATACTATTTTACACTAATAATAAGCCTCATGAGTACAATAAATTGTTAACCATTTTAACCTCTTCATAGTAATCGCATAAGAAATCTTCTCTATTTCTAGATCTTCTCATCTATTTTGCAAATCTGCTACATTTCAATATAGTCATAACTCTCTAAGTCTATATAAAGAGATGTACTATTCTAAACTATTCCATGCTAGTAGCATTCCCCATTGAGTTTGTTAGCAATAATAATATTATAGCATATAGTTTATATTTGTGGTTATTATTGTTAGTCAGTTATCTTTCTATACTTTAGGAGAGAGGTGGTAGCTTCCCTATAGGACTCCTAAGTGTATTCTCTCTGTAACTGATCAAACATTTTGAATTCTATCTCTCATCTGGTATTAGTTAGCGATAGGTCGTTCTCTGTTTATCTTTTTCCCGAAAAACTTTCCGATGTCGACAAACTCTTCCGAGCGTACGGTTACCACCACCACCGTTTCCGCTCCGGTGACCACCAACTCTCTCACCTCAGCCCACCACTTTGAACTCCCATGCCCACCGGCGACCGTCACAGCTCCTCCCCAGTCCGGCGACGGCGTCCGACTCCACCACCTCCACGAACCCGGCGTACACGGCGTGGATTCAACAGGATCAATCGATCCTTTCTCTGCTCATTTCGTCCTTCTCCGACGAAGTGATGCACCTTGCGGTTGACCGGGATTCCGCCCGTGAAGTATGGGAATCCATCACCTCCACGCTAGCCTCGACGACGTGCAGCCGATGCCTGAGCTTGCTGGGGTAGTTCCAAACGCTGCGACAAGGAGCTGGTTCACCAACCGAGTATCTCGGCAAAGCTCAACTCATAGTCGAAGCGCTCTTCCAAGTTGACAGACCCCTTTCCACCGATGAACAAATCCTGTACGTTCTGAGAGGACTCCGACCAGAGTTCTGAGCCATGGCTAGCTCTCTCACGGCCTCCGGCGCACAGGTGACGATCTTGCAGCTCTTCGATCATCTGCAGGCCCAGGAGTTTATATACTTCGATGACTTCACCATCGGCGAGTCATCCGGATCATTGGGTTCAGCGGCTGCTTTTTTCGCTGGTCGAGGCCGCAACACAGGCGACTCCAATGGTGGCAGAAACTCCGGCAACGGCGGACGGGGCAGGCAAGGACGTGGCAGAAATTTTGGCAACGGTGGATGGCGAGGCCGTGGCAATCCGAGATGCCAAATCTGCCGGTCACATGGCCATACGGCCATCTACTACTGCTTCAAGCGCTACGAGGAGCGTCCGGCCGGTCACGCTAATATGGCGGTTCCCGGAGATACTTCGGCTGGATCGGCGGTGGAGGCATGGTATTCAGATACCGGCGCGACATCTCATGCAACTCCGGACGAACATATGATGCAGCACTCCGACGTCTATACTGGTGGTGATGTCCTCAAAGTGGGCAAAGACACAGGTTTGAGTGTTACCCGTGTCGGGTATGCTATTATCCCATCCGTGTCACAGTCGTTAAAAATGTCTAAAATCTTACATGTGCCAAAACTTTCGTTACCACTCCTGTCGGTTCATCGTTTCACTAACGAAAATAATGTGTTTTTTGAATTTCATAAAAACTTATTTTTTGTGAAGGACTGCAACACTCAGGCGGTGCTTCTTAAGGGATCCACTTCGGACGGTTTGTACAAGATGTTAGACCCCCAGTCACATCGTGCATTTCTTACCGCCAAAGCGTCGCTAGAGGTTTGGCATCAACGGTTGGGTCACCCACATAGTCAAATCCTCCAGAATATTCTCAAACAGTGTCCAGTCACTCACAATAAAGCCAGTTCGTCGCGGTTGTGCTCGGCATGTCAATTAGGCAAATCGACCCGATTTCCATTAGATAGGGTTTCGAATTCTAGTTTAAATATGTTAGACTTGGTTTATACGGACATTTGGGGTCCGTCATATGTTATTTCAATTTCTGGTTTCCGTTATTTCGTGTTATTTGTAGATGATTGTACCCGTTTTTGCTGGTTTTACCCTTTAAGGTTAAAATCAGACATCTATAAAGTGTTTGAGTTGTTTCGGGCAATGGTAGAACGGCGGTTTTCGCGTTCTATCAACGCCATCTAGTCTGACTTAGGGGGTGAGTATCGTCGCCTACACAAAATTTTTGAATCCCTTGGCATAACGCACAGACAATCGTGCGCGTATACACACGAACAAAATGGGCGCGTTGAGCGCCGGAATAGACATATCGTCTAAACCGGCTTAGCCCTACTGGCTGGGAGCTCAACTCCTCTAAAATATTGGGATTATGCCTTTGAAACGGCCACCCACCTAATCAATTGCCTACCATCTTCCGCTCTACAGTTTCAAAGTCCATATTATCGTCTACATAAAACTTAGCCAAATTATACCTTTTTTCGTGTCTTCGGGTGCAGGTGTTACCCTTATCTTAGGCCATATAATCGGCATAAGATGGAGTATCGCTCAGCACCCTGCGTCTTCTTAGGTTACCCTGTTTATTTTATGGGATATCGTTGCATGGACCTAAACACTGGGAAACTCTTCATCTGTCGTCATGTTCGATTTGATGAGACCGAGTTCCCATTTACTGCGCAGTCATCCTTGCAGGTTGACGGCAATACTGCTGCTACGTTACCCTGGGGATCCAGTCCAGTGGCAGTTCACCCTCCAGATGCATCGGCCCTACATGAGGCTCCTCCAGCGGCTACTGCACCACCTACAAACACGACTCCAAATCAAGACGGAGGTCACATAATGCGTACTCGGTGCAAAACTCGCGGTACCGGCGAGCAATTATTTGCTCTTAACACAACGGTGGACCCCACCTGTTACTCTCAAGCTGTGGGACACCCGCAATGGCGGGATGCCATGGACCAAGAGTTCAACGCTCTGCTGCATAACAACACGTGGCAGCTAATACCGGTTACACCACACATGAATATTATCGGCTGTAAATGGGTGTTTCGCACCAAACGCAAAGCCGATGACTCCGTTGAACGCTATAAAGTGTGTCTAGTCGCTAAGGAGTTCAACCAGGTAGCTGGTAAGAATTTCTTTGACACATTCAGTCCTGTAGTCAAACCGACTACGGTACGTATCCTGTTTTCTCTTGCAGTATCTAGAAAGTGGACTCTACGCC